CCGACTGATGCTCCGCCTCCAGGAGAGAGGAGGCCGGCTGGATGCTGAGCAGTGAGCCGGGACACACGAAAACTGGAAGACGGAAGTGAGGAGGGGAAGACAGCAGGATGTGAGAAAGAAGAGGAAGAGGGAGGGAGAAGAAGAAGAGCGGGCAAGGAAGTAAGGAGGAGAAAAGTGTGGAAAGATAGGGGAGATGGGGAGAAAATGGATCGATGTATGAAAAATGGATCGAATTAGATGCGGTTGATGCAGCAAGAAGAAAAAAGAATGAAGAGAAAAAGAGAGGGATTTAAAACACCTGTGCTGATCTCAAGAGGCAAGCAACAGAAGAGACGCAAAAGTGTTGAAATTCACACACTGTTAGCGTGTGTGTGTGTGTGTGTGCTTGTGTGTGTGTGGTGAGTAATACAACAGGGACACTGCAATGAAAGGTGTGTGAGTGTATTTATGTGCTTTGTGTGTGTGTGTGTGCGTGTGTGTGTGTGCGTAAGTGTGGGTGTGGGTTAGTGCAAAAAGAGTGAAAAAGGGTGTGAGGTAGAATCAGGGACGCAGAAGGCGGAGCTAAATTTTGCCTTGAAGTGAATGAGAGGGCAGGTTAGTTTACGCCGAGCACAACGATTGGTCCACCCACATGTCAATAACTGTATGAACACATATGTATACTGTACAGTCTCACACTGGCATGCAAACAGGCATGCACACACACACTCACACACGGAAGCAGTGCTTGGTAAGCACACATCCAGAAGGATATACAATCACACACATTTGGTCTTATTTTTCCTATGAAGATAAATAAGGGGCTCTTCCTATAAGGGAAGAAAAGGGAAAATAAGCATGAAGAGGATGATCAGACAAGTAGGAAGGAATGATTGCAAGAAAGAAAGAACAGTGCTTGTGTGTGAAAAGGAAATAGCGAGAAAGAGAGAAAAGGTAAGAAGATTATGTTTATGTTTGTGTGAGCAGTTGTGTTTATGTTTGTGTGTGCAAAGAGAGACTAAGGGAGAGAAATAAGAGACAGAGAGATCGACCAGGAGCAAGAGAGGAAGAGGAGGGGGAGAAACTGGAGAGAGAAAGAGAGAGAGAAAAGAGGAAGAGGGACTATGTGCAGAACCTGGATAAAATTGGATAAAAGGACGGGTTCCAACCACAAGAGATGGATAAAATGAGGGTGACAAAATAACCAAGTAGGAAATGAAAAAAGGGGGGCAACATCCAGCATGACTACGAAACAACGTCCTAGGGTAGGAGGAAGAGAGAGATGGCAGGAGAGAGGAAGAGAAGGAGAGAAAAGAGTGTGGGTCGGGGGTAAGAGATCAAGATGCTACAATGTTTTGTCTTTACCTTTTTGGTCCACTTCTACTCAAGCATAGGAAAAAAAGAGGGAGAGAAAGAAAGAGAAGTCAGAGGGTGAAAGAAGGGAAGTAAAGAAAAGAAAGAAAGCAAGCAAGAGAGAAAGAAAGGAAGAAAGAAAGAAAGAAAAAAAGATAAAGAAAGAAAGAATTGCACAGATAAAGACTTTGGAACTCATTCTCACCACAAACTTTATAGTTCACGTAAGAGATAGAAGAAGCACAAAAGAGACCCAGCATACCCCCCCCCCCCCCCCCCCCCCCCCCCTATCCTCCCTCGCCCCCCCCCCTCCACCTCCTCCGATCTCTCCTTTCCTCAATCAGGCTCCTGTGGAGAAAAGAGAGCAACTCCCGGGGCGTGAATCTGAAAAAGAAAACACACACGCATGCACGCGCAAGTGCACACATGCACTCTCGCACACACACACACACACACACACACTCACACACACCCATACACAAGACATACAGTATGCAACTGTACTACAGTTTCCCTATCTGTTCCTTCTCCATCCACCTTTCATCATGTATTTGACACTCACAAACACACAAACACACACTCCCTGAGAAAAAAAAAACTTCTATCCATCAATCTCTCAGTCGACATCAGAGGTTATAAGAACAAAAAACAAAAACATACAATATAGCTAGACAAATATAGGTCAAATCTCAGTGTTTTACATGCACATGCACATATTTACATGTAATCATGTTTGTGGGTGCATGTGTGTTTAAGTGTGTGTTTATATATACGAATACTTACTGTAAGGGACGCACTCATACTGGATCTCCAGGTACTTGTATGTTCCAGGACAGGGGTCTGGGAAGACGTCGACCCCTGCGACCACCACACACTGAGTCCTGTTGTTACACCTGGAGGGCAGCGGATGGATGGATAAGTGAAAGGGATGATAGAAAGAAAAAACAATGAAAGGAGAGAGAGTGATTAACAGACAGGAAAGGGGAAGGACAGGACACTCCATTTGTCTACTCTCCCTCTCACTGAATATTGATCAGTTCTTCTAGGAAAACACTGCGGAGTACACAGCTAATGGTGCAGTCAGGCACTCAGACTCAGCTGGAGAGATAACTGCACTCGCACGTACACATGACTCACAACACAAGTATTGGTTTTGTCTAACGTTTCCTCTGACATGACTCCACAGGTATCTTGTATAGCAGTGCACACACACGGTATGTAAGAAACAGTAGATGCTCTCATTGATTGGTTTAACTGCTTCCATAATGTTTGCACGTACTCAAACGTCACAAGAATGACATTACAATTTGCGCCTCTGCGTGTGATTTAAGCTCTTACGCAAACACAGTCAGCAAGATGTGTAACCCAGCACATACACACCTCTGGGCCATGATCTTGAGTGCGTCAGGGAGGTAACACTGTGTGTTCTCCATCTGGAAGGGGTCTGCGTCACAAATCTTGTCATCGGTGCGTCCATAGTTGGCGGTCTCCACCATAACCACGTCACTTCCTGGGCAGCGCAGCTCTATGGGATAACCCTCGCATGCCAGCTCCCTACGCAGCAGCCCGAACGGCATGGCGGCCCGGGACATAGCTGCTCATGAGGGAGGTGGAGGTAGGAAGAAGGTAGAAGAAAAATAATTTTCATTCATCAATCATTTCTTAAGAACAATAAGCATTGACACTGTCTTCAGACTTAGTAACGATTATACCAATCTAAACCAATTTATCCGATTGTCTCTTCCTCTTCGAAGGAAGTTGGATATACTATGATTTGCAGCACCCTATATCAAAACTTAGTGATGTCACTCAAAGGTTTCTGAGCTCAAAGTGGGTGGCCCGAGCGTCGCCATATTGTTCTTTTTAACCGGAAGCGATCGTATTTGGAAAAGAGGATGGTGCTATCGTTAGCGTAACAAATGCTAGTTAGCAGGTAACGCTAGTGCTATTAATGAATGTGGATGATTATTTTGGCATAGACAGGCTTGTTCCTTTTGTAACGTTATTGGAAAAAATTTATCAAAAGCCGAGTCCTCAAAGCGTCTTTTTAATACAACGAGCTAAGCTAACAAGCCGAAGAATGCTGAGCGCCTGCTAATTAGTACATTTTTAATAGTAAAGTTAATTTTGTTTGTAATTAGAACTAGAGTCGACGAGCACTGACCAGTAACGTAATTCCAGGAATTAGCCATGTTTCATAGAAACAAGAACATTACAGTTCCTCGATATCCCATTGGAAACTGACGCGAGAACAAAAGTCATCCAAACTATCGTCCAACGCCCGCCCATTGGCCAGGATGCCCGGGATACAATTAACCGCACAGTAAGCCGTAATATGTCCGACACCGCATGAAAAATTCTATAAAAGCCACAACACCACGAATACGGCCGAGAGGTCAAGTTCAGTCGCTCGAATTAGCCAGGTTACGCCTACTTCTTCTTCTTTGTTGGGGTTTGACGGCAGTCCGCATCCGGTAGCTGCCAGAGGTGACGCCTCGAAGATAGCTAGCGCCTGTGACGGCGCCTACCTGTCACTCACAGCGGCCACTCCCTTAATTATGCAGAACTTTGAGCCTTTACATAATTTAAACTGGTGAGTTGCATAAAAAAAATCACCCCCGTACACTTGTTCTCAACGGGGAACACACTCACTAGTTTCCCAACAACAACAAACGTAATTTAAACATCACACTCTGATTATCTCAATCTCAGCATGCCAACACCTGTTTGATGTAAGCGTAACATAGCTAACACACATTTCCGCGCTGTGAAAATGTGTGATTTAATTGAATCTTTAAGATGCAGGCATGTGTGAGAGTTTACACTGGAAGGACTCCCAGATGCAAGCAGACTGTGATTGTTGACATAAATCACACTGCACCTCCACTGTGACACCTGCTTGTGATGAGATGCGGGTACATCACAGTATCGTGTGTTTTAATTCAATGGGGAGAATAAAGCTCATAGTGCTGGCTTTCAGATGCTTGGTAAACACAAAAGACAAAGATTGTATTATTTTCTTTCCTTTCCCTTAAAGACTATATCTTACTTTGTCATATCTCTCTGTATGTAAACTCACCTGACTGCCATATTAATCTGTGTAAAACAGGGTTATTGGAGGAAATCACATTACCATATCCTTAATCCGGTTATTCACATCCTTTTGAGTATCATGTACACACATAGAAAGGTGTTTGCTGTGTCAGGATGAAACCCACAGTTAAATTAGTATGCTACTGGTGTACTGTAACTGCCCGTGGTGCTGAATGACTGATCGTTTATTAACTAGGAGCTGGCGGCTTCTGGAGCAACAGGCTGCACTCTTCAGATGTTTTGACAAGCTTTTGTTTATGCAGGTCACAAGATGACTTTGCCCTTCTTTAGCGGCAGTGAGTTCCACTTTTCTTTACGACTTTGCTCAGTTTGCAGAACAATGCCTTATACAGGAGTCACCCAAATCTACTGAACACTGGCATCATCCATTGCTTCCTTTTTGAATTTTTTTTTTGTGATTCATCCTGCTGATTGCTGTGTCCCGATCAACACATCGACACGATACTAACATCAGCGCCGTTACGCTTACCTTGACCGGAGGGCGTGACGTGAGCCAGAGTGAGCACACACACTCCCAGGAACCACAGTGACACAGCCATGCTGGGCGGGAAGGGTTAGGACGTCACACCACCAGCCGCGTTAGGAGAGCCTGTGGAGGAAGAAGTGTAAGATTGAGAGTGAAGAGGTGCGCACTTGCCTTGTGTGTCTGTCTGTCTGTCTGTCTGTCTGTCTGTCTGTCTGTCTGTGTGTGTGTGTGTGTGTGTGTGTGTGTGTGTGTGTGTGTTGGATGATCAATAACACACACTGACAGCAAAAGAGTGCACGTGAGAAAACACAGCGGGGTGGAAGGTGGACAGAATAATAGAGACAGACAGAGAGGAATAGATAACAATTGTGCATTTGGTGCAGCAAAAATACCCTCAATCTGTTGTTACCATGGTGATAGCACAGTGCAGTCTGGGAGAGAGAGAGAGAGAGAGAGAGCGAGAGAGAGAGAGAGAGAGAGAGAGATGTGCTGGCTGTGTGTAACTGCGTGTGTTTGTGAGGGAAAGCACACACGTGTGTACGTGTTTTAAATCTGTAATTAGCTAGGCGTAACAGTGGCCACTGACCCATAAAAAACTCTTAATCTTTCTATCCTCACACACAAACACTCACACACACACACACACACACACACACACACACACACACACACACTCACACACAGGCAGAGGGCTGGGCTCAGCTTAGGCTACTTTTCAGTAATCCTAAATAAATGATGTCGCGGAGACGATCTCCTCCCCAGCAGGGGTGACGAGGTAAACAGCTGACTGAGGGCGCAGGTGATCAGAGGGTGATGCTGCGCTGTGGAGTTTTACGAGGGAACATACGGGACGCAGGAGGACGAGATACAAGAGAACAACAGTAATATGACTCCCTAATATAGTCTGAACTCTTGGCCCTGGACAGAAGGGAGGATGGAGGCTGAACGGCATCTTGCACGGCATTTTTTTCTCCACTGCTTAGCATTCCAATCTGCTGCTGCAGTGTGTGCATAGTATCCAGCATGATGGTCTTCTGCTTGTATGCGTGTGTGTGCGTGCGTGTGTGTGTTGGGGTGTAAGAGCGCATGTGTGTATAAAGATACATATGTGTGCTTGCGTGTGTTTGTCGGTGACTTGCTTTTCTCTCCGTCTTCTTGTTAGGTAATGATGGCAGACAGATTTAGGTCACTCCTCAACAAATGTCCAACATGCATTCAAAGACGTGTGTTGTACAGGGCACACGCGAGCACACACACACACACACACACACACACACACACACACACACACACACAAGAAAGAGAAGAGAGACCTCTGCCTTCTTTAAGCCCACTGAATCAACTAGACTGTAATAAATGCCTCGGGACCACTGTGATACACACACTAACACACACACACACACACACACACACTAAACACAGTACATAAAAGACTCACCAGAATGAGAACCTTTCCGTTTTGTCATCACATACACACACACACACACACCCACGCTATACAACTCATCTCATCCAAAACCCTTATGGCAGCATGTTCTTTTGCTCGCAACCCCCACCATCACTCTCTCTCTCTCTCTCTCTCTCTCTCTCTCTCTCTCACATGCACACACACACACACACACACACACCCTTAAGTGTTGATGCAGAGTAAGTAGAGCAAGGACACTGATGGGCCTTGACAAAGCCACACACCCAGTCCCCCTGTTCGCAGCACCATGCTCCCTGCCTGCAACCAAAATCCAGCCCCGGGCCACCGACCGGCCTACTTGGAGGAGCAGCCTCCTCTAAGTGAGAGTGAGCGTGAGTAGTACACACACACCCAACCGTGCGCACATACAGAATACACAGAGAAACTGCATTTATCTGCATATATCTAGCATTGTTAATAGTGACTCAGTAGCAGCAGAAGATGTACTAGCAACTACTTTGATTATCAAATTGACCCCTCACAAACAGTGCTCCATTTCTAGTCTCGTTAAGTAGCTTTTCTTTGTTAAAATAAGTTCAGCCTGACATATTTGGTATCTTTGGAAATTGTGGGAGTTTTGCTACAATTTCAAATAAGGTCAAGTGGTTTTCAACAGTGTTTGGCTTTAGGGCTTTACGTCATCGATGAGGGCAAAAAAATGACAAATATTTGCAGGTTCCAGCTTCTCAAATGTGAGAATCTGCGTTTGGAAATTTCAATTTCACTTTCGAGGGCTGTAGTGGACAATTTCACTATTTTTTGACATTTTCTAGAATAAAATGAACTTTAACTGGTTAATCCATAAAATAATCTGAAAATATTTTTCACTTGAAGAGATGTCAAACAGGAGTCTGCCACTCAGAAACCTGCGGGTTTCAGAATGTAAGCATTCTATAAGAAACACAACTGATTGACTCACTGCTGTGGGGAGCAAATGTTACCTGAAAGCCATTAAAGTCAGCCTGTTGGAAATCATTCAAACTGATGTGAACTCACGGCAGGTACAAAGATCACACTGTTGGAGGCGGAGGCCATAAAATCAACAGAGACAGAGGGAGAAAGAGGGAGCAACCTCCCCCTCATTTGGTCAGAGAGCCTCAGGGCGGATCACTATGAAGCACAACGTGACCAAACAGACTTGTAGTGTTTTGTTCCTAATGGAAGAGTAAGTGAGTGTCTCTGTGTGTGCGTGTGTGAGTGAGTGATGGAGAGAGAGCAATCAAGAGGTGAGGGAGAGACTGAGAGATTAGTCTTCATGACAGCACAGCGAGAGTAAAAGCTTTATTGGCTGAAATACTTTTTTTAATAACAACAGCGTCGAGAATTTTCTTGTTGCCGTCGATGATATTCGAGGCTTGTGAGGGGATTTTAAAACACGCTACGGTGCCCTCTGTGACGGCGAGCCTGTTTCAGACCGTTGACCTCCACAGCTCCCACAGGGCTGAGGCCTACTCACCGCAGCCAAATCCACTTACAGGGTTTTAGAGCCTGTATGTTTGTCTGGTCGATGCGCGAATCTGGGGAATGGAGGTGTCGCCCTCTGTCAATCATTCGCTTGTTGCAGCCGGGAAACCAAGCGACGCTCAGAGCCAAGTTCAGAACGATACGACCTGCGCTGCATGTCGGACGCCCCTGAGAGCATCGGGGGTTGGGGAAATGGGAGGAAATGGCTTGCAGATATATTCATGTTTTAAAAGTCACTTGTCGAAGTCATCCACTGTTTTTTAATAATGTTATCTTTCAGTTTTAACATATAGTCACCAAAGTGACTACATATCTGTAACGCTAACCCCTTATGAAGATTGATAACGACATTTGAAATATGGAAGGCCAAGGGGGCCAAATGCCATCCGTGGCCTCTCATACTATTTGTGTGTAGCTATACATCCTTTTTGCGTGAGAAGTCCTTTCCTTTCACCTAAAGAATCGAGTCTTCTTCTGCAGACTGCAGGAGGGTTGATTAAACATTGATAAGTTTCCTCACATATTTATCAAGATCGTAAGTCTACCCTCGGCACTCACTCTCTGAGTTAAAAGCACACCGTGCCTTAGTGCACTATAAGCACTTTCTGGGAATATGAGAATTTCAGGAGCGTTTGGTCATCTATCACTGATTTGTTTTTACCTCCTCACTGCTCAGTATGAAGCAGAATAGTTGAGATGAGTAGCTGTCGAGTGGAAGAACACCACACAGACGGGGAAAACAGCCCACAACACCTCAACGTGATGTTAGAGGACAGGTAGTGTTTTTCAAAAGTCTTGTTCGTTGAAAGAGCTATTTGTCGCTGTAATTGTCCGATCTCTCCATAGCGTCTTTGAAGCAATCCCTTCTTTGTGCGACTCCAATGTAGTGACTACTTTAATAATCAAATGATCGTCTTTTTCTTTTAGAAGAAATAGCCGACATTTCAAACTCTCAGCTTCTCAACTGTGCAGATTTGTTGCTTTTCTTTGTTGTGCGTGAAACTAAAATAAATATATTTGGACAAAGAAGACGTCACCTTTGGGCTGTGGGGAATTATAAATTATAACTGGGCTTTTCTATATTTTCTGACACTTAATAGACAAAATGAACAATCAATAAATTGAATTTTCACCACACAGAATGCAATTCTCCTGTTACACACGCTCATACTAATATGAAAGTATGATGGGAAAAATAGAGACAATATGGCTAAGAAAGATGCAGCAATTAAGTATGTATTTTTTAAAGTTTTGTCGCAAAATTACCATACATAGCTTTACTTTTTTGCTCAGCACGAAGCCGGTCGATTCTGTTTCCCATCTCTAAGACGGGATCTTTTCATGGCCAGTATGGACAGCAACAGCTTTGGTAAGAGATTGTGCCACACTTAGTGTATTACGCTATTGAGAGCAACACTGCAAATCAAAGAGCAGAACTGCTTTGTGGGAAATATTGGACATTCCTGGCTGCTTATGTTTTTTTTTAAAGAAAATTATTTTAAAGAAAAGACACTATATGACATTATATATATCAATATATGGAATTCAAATGACATATCCTGTGATGATGTGAGGGTTTTATCCATGTCACCTCTATGCAGGAGGAACAATCACAGCCACTGATTCCTCTTTTTACGTACGTTAGTAAGCTGATAAGGGAAGACACATTTTTAAAAACTGTGATTCATCCTTTTAAAATGGCACACTGTGTTCATGTGATTAATCCACAGCACTCTGCTCGTAGTTTTCACAATAAAACCGCAGGGAAATGCTGCAGTAAAGGTCATGTTGTAGATCCTGGAAAATCTAAATTTCAATATAGTGAAGTGACCGGGAACCAAATGTCTTGGGGTTGGTTAAATATTCATAACGGGTTGCTAATTTTGAACACATGACACATCTACAGTAACGCACGTACATGTTGATGCTGTCTGAGTGCGGGGTGTCAGAGAGAGTTTGAGAACGCAGCACGTAAAGCGAGTGTACGGGAAAGCGAGCTTTTCCTGCTCTTACAGCATTTTAAGAGACTGCATCACCTCAGTGGAGGGATAACATGAGAAACCTTCATGTTTATGTCGGAGGCTGACATTGGGAAATGTACAGACTTTTATTTGGAGCAACCTTGAGCATCGTCTGTCGTACTGTGCGTGCCGTCCTGCCCCTCTGCACTAAACATCATTTGTGTGTCAGCATAACCTCTCGCTATAATATGAGCTGTTTCAACATGTCACCAAGACAAAGTCCCGGACAAAGAACAGGATTGTGATCTTGAAGCGTGACTAAAATTCATGGCAACAAAAAAACTGTCTCTTGCTTTCTGGGAAATGGTTGACGGAGGTGTGACAGAGCAGAGCCGAGTGCGTCCAGCAGCTTTTGTTATCAGGACGGCAGAACAGGCTTCAGCCGGACAATTCCCTTTCAGCCATAAAAGCCGTTTAGCCGTTCATACGGTGAGATGACAGGAATGCGACTCAGGTCGGAGAGTATATCCCATAACGATTACAACGATTACAAGATGGAAGCTGTCCCTTGTGTGATATGTGAGGTAGTTTTAAACGCACCATTCTTTGACCAAAAGCAGACAACCTGGTTATTTGATCACGCATATGGTTTACCTCTGTGTGATGAAGAGCCAATTAGGGCTCCCAACACTGTCCTGAAACAATTGCAGTGTTTTGCAGACGGATTGCTGGATTATTTCATCCAATTTGTTTCTCAAATGTGTTTTCAGAAAACTCACTAATATGTATCAATATCATGTTGTTGTTTTTAAATGGCACACCGTGGTCAAACAAGTATCCATATCACCCACACCTCCTGGACAATATATTTGAACAATTCATTTTGTACTTAATAGAATATATGATTATTTGTGCTTTTAGAGACATTTGCACACAAGACTTTTGAGAGAGAAAAACACAATATGGATATGATGGTCATCACTGTTCAGTTTCAGTTTGATAAGCTCCGTGAAGCTGCAACCAATCACGGGAACGCTCGGCTCGACAGCAGAATTACACCAATTAGTCGATTGACGGAAAATCAGTTTGCAGCTTTTGAGCAATTACACATTTCGATAATCTTTGAAGCAAAAAATGCCAAAAGATTCACTGGCTGCTGATTTGCTTTGTCATATCACTTATTTTGTTCTGTCACATGTGATGAAGGTTTTTGATTGAACAAAACAAGCAACTCAACGTTAAGCTCCAAAGAACACTTTTTTCCTATTTCTTTCGCAAAGACAAAACCTTCATTGTCAGTTAATCACCCAATTATTTTTTTTGTATTGATCTATAATGAAATATTAATTGCAATATTGTAACAAGTGAAATCCCAGCCGAGGCTTAATCTCGTTTCACAATATTAATATTCCACTGATAGCCTTGAACGGGCCTCACACGCTCACACTCAGTGTGTGTCTGACTGATGCAAAGAGACACGATAGGAACCTGCAGTGAGGGGGTCCGAAATGAAAAGAGACAAAAATGCTGCGTTTTACAAGTCAAATCCATCCAAATAGTGTGTGTGCATGTGTGCGTGTCTGAGTGGTTTAGGCAAATATACATTTTCTTTTTTCTCTCCTCAGTGGTTGATGTAATGATCCTTACGTGGAAACAAACCTCTGTTTTCTATCTAACCTGCACGGTGCAGGCACACACACACACACACACACAACTAGGTGAGTCACCTTATTATAACTTGTGTTCACTAACATGTCTACATATAAATCAGTGCAAAGCAATCATCCTTTTCACAAACGTCCGTCACACACTCAAGGTTACAAATATATCGGAAATTCCTCCTGACAGAGGAGCACGAGTCCTGTCGGCCACTGAGCCGTTTCTCTCTCATCCCTCCGTCCCTCCCTCAACCCTCCACCTCCTTCATTTGTCTCCTCTTCCTCCCCCCCCCCTCCCGGCCTGGCCTCCTCCACTGACCCAGTCCTCTCATCCTCTCGCTGAAATATTGATAATGGACTCTCGCTCGGCCTGCGCTCTCCTCTACTCCCTCTCTTTTCTCCTCATGTTCCCATCTGAGGTGAAACCAGCAAACATGACCAAATCCGAGTGTGTGTGTGTGTGTGTGTGTGTGTGTGTGTGTGTGTGTGTGTGTGTGTGTGT